ATGGAACCAAAAGGAAGGCTCAACTCCTGTACAAACTGTACACTTATTAAGTGTACAGTTTGTACAGGAGTTGAGCCTTCCTTTTGGTTCCATCATTATATAGTTAAGATATATAATATAATATGTTAATTAAGGTAACCTTATGAGACAATTTTGCTCACGAGTGCGATGGGACGAGGGATCCCTCGTCTTTTCAAACGAAGACTGAAGCATTTCAAAGACGTCAGGAATCTCTTTGATTTGGCGACCAAAGCTTAGAGCTCACGAGGCAGGACGGACAAAACACAAATGTTGGTCAACCTTGCAAGTTCGTTGTGTCAATGAGACCTACACGACCTACAGACGTCTATGAGGAGGTACAGTACTGTGCTTCCAGCTTCAACACCCGGACTTCTGGATGCGTTCCCTTTCGTACCCCTGCGAGTCATGTCATCCGCACGCGGCGTTTGACGAACCAGGATCGATCGAGGTCCCATATTACAGGACGAGAGATGACTATGTGCCAAACGGGAAGCTACGCGACTTGGCCAACCAACCGATCCGCTTGGGATTCGACAACTCTTCTTTCGATCTGACAGACTGCTGCTGAATCGGTGAAGAAACAGGTTCCCACTTCACCAGACCCCAACGCGCACACCAAAAATGCATTGAAGATCATTGAAGCTTAATTGAATCTAAAGCATAGTATGCCAGAATGATGCATTAATTGGTTTTGCCGACATGCTTTGATCCAGGGTCCAGGTGCATAAGTCTTAATCCTAGAGTTCAGATTCCCTGACTTTCGGCTTCAATCTCCAACCAAGGAGATTGTAGAGGAGCCCAATCTCCGGAGCTGTCATTGCCCCGCCTAGCTCATCACCCATCGCCGAGTCCTTCAAATCGAGGAGGATCTTGCACATCGCGGGTGGCTTCGGCACTGGTGGCACGGCGGGGTGAGGAGGGAGAGGAAATGTCCAAAAGTTCAGAGATAGAATTCCTTTGCCTGACAGTGTGTTTCATCTGAAGTTGCAGTTTTGTAATCGTCTGCATGATCGAAGCATGAGTCACTCTCCAGGTCTAAGCAGCTAAGCAAAACCTGGAGCCAGAGCGAATATGGGCACCCCAAAGGCTGACTGGGGGCGGCGACTCAACTCCCACATGTAGTGGTAGAGGCTTGACCCACATCATGGATTTCATATTGACCGCAGCTTGACACGGGCGAGTCTCACACGTGACTCTCCACCAAAACATCCATCTCCACCGGAACCAAGCTCCCCGACTTCGCCCAAATGACGGAACGAGGGACGATGGGATCATCCCCTCAGTCAACCGCCCGCCGTGGATCGGTTGCTTCCAGAATCAGAAGCGGTGGCGGCCAAAAATCCCGGTGAGGTTCAAGAGGTGTCCATGTTGTTTTTTGCGACATATTGACCGATTGGCATACCAAACTGCCCGAAGAGGCTGCCCAAGACCAGCGCGGATGGAGAATTCAGAATCACCTAATGGGTCACTTACAAGAGACTCCTGCGCCTGGTGGATGACCTAAATGCTTGGTCTTGGAATGCTTGTCAAAGAAGCCCCTGAGGTTCAGCAGCCTATGCCTGAATTGCACTAAATACGGACACCTGCGCAACAACAAACTGATACAATGTCTCCAAACTGGGAGATTGGACTCAACTGAGAGCACTGACGGATGCAAGAAAACCGATGAAGAATGTCTGTGCATTCCAGTTTCCTTGGTCCATAAAGCTCGCAAGTCCATGAGAAAGAGCAGTACCGCGAGTACCGGGTACTGCTCCAATTGCACCCGGAAAGAAATTGCGGACCAACAATTCCAAGAGTTGGAGGCCATCACTACTAAGGTTGGAGACCATCGCTCTTAGGTTGGAGGCCATCGCTCTTAGGTTGGAGGCCATTGCTACTAGGTTGGAAGCCATCGCTCTTAGGTTGGAGGCCATTGCTACTAGGTTGGAAGCCATCGCTCTTAGGTTGGAGGCCACTGCCACTAGGTTTTTTTTGTTCTTGGCTTTCCGTGTTGTTTAAAGAATATTTATAGATATTTATAGAACTTATATGGTCCCACAAAGTCTCCAGTCGGTCCACCGGTTCGACGAAGACGAGCCTAGGGAGACAGCAGAGGAGATTTGCTCGACGCCGGTCCTTGGCAGAAAGCTGGAACACCCGTTTGGTGAGGAGTGTATACCAGCTATTTCCTTCTCCGGAAGGAAGCATCTGATGTAAAACCAATATGTGTTTGATGTCGTTTCACCATCCTCACACTCTCCATCACTCTCCCACTGAAGGTTGAAGGTTGAACCTAGAAATCGAGAGCTTCAGCTCTTCACCTTGATCCACTGCCGCCTTTCGGAGCAAAATCCCACCTGCATGAGAGGATCCACGTCACATGTGGTCACCCTCGAGGGTCTGGATTCCAGTTGCGATGTTTTGCGTTCGCCCAACATGTCTCATTTGTTCCGAAATTCAAATAACAATAACACACTGCCCCCATGAAAGAAAAGGCAAAACAGTCACGCGTCAGACACGAAGCAATACGACTTCCAAAGGCTGTCTCTCAGCGCTCTTAGGTTGGAGGCCATCGCTCTTAGGTTGGAGGTGCTTCCTGAGCGTTCCGGCCCTTCAAGCTGCCAGGCACACTCCTCGTCGCTTCGGAGATAAAACCTCGGTGCTCGCATGGATTTACTATGTGATCCAACAGGAAGAGGAGAAAACTCTTGAACACATCTGTGCTTGTTCACCAAAGATGCATTTTGTGTTGTGCTCATTTATATAGGTGAATCACTCCATGCTGAGTATGATGTTAATTTGCACATATGAGTACATTATACTCTCTCTTCTATACAGGGCACTTGTTGAGATGGCAATTCTGAAGGAAGGGGAGCAAAGCCTTCCAGGTCGGCTTGCTGCAAGCCCTCCTGTGCAGGAATCTAGGAACTGAAGAGTCCTCCAATATGTCTACCTCAAACGGGGGAGAAAAAAGCGTCCTCGCTTGAACATCCACGGTGGAGGACAGCTATGCCCCGATGTGTTCAAAGCCCACCTTCGGAGGGGAAAGTCTGAGGATGTTCCACGGATCACAGCGGATGGTAGTGCCAATCTTCACAGGCTCAACCGACTGCAGTTTGGCTCCCTTTGAGCACCATGATGATTGGGTCGGTCCGAAGGGGGACAAAAAAGTGTGATGCCCAAACATTAACCTTTGATTCAAATTCTGGGGGCGACATTCTTGTCTTGGGAAAGCGAAGCCATGCTGCCATGCCACTCATTCACCATCAAACTCTCGTGCGCAATTGCGGGCAAAGCCTAGCTGAAGTGGGCACAAGCGACACCACCCCTAGCCCAGTGACCGCAAATGATGAGAGACCAAGCGTTTACATGTATATGTTTAACCGATGTTTAACCAGATACAGGGAACCCATCGGAAGAATCTGAACCAGCGAATGAAACGAGATGTTCAGAATACCCCAAGCCGATCCAGCTTCTCAAGGGATGCTGTGCGCAGTGTAGGCCACGGCCACAGCTTCAGCAGTTCTTGCTGGTCACTCCATGGCCCCTACAAAGGCACTCGACCAAAGCAGTGAGAGACTGAGACTGATTCTGGTGTGGCACCCAAAGAAGAAATCGCCGGGATTGGAGATACAACGAACACTTCTGGGTCCCTGAGCACCTGAGTCGTTGGCACGAGGATTCTAGATCTTACAGCTTTGTTTGGCACCTGAGTCTGTTAGGTCCATTTACGAAGGCTAAATTGGAGGGTGTGTGGAAAAAAAGAGCTTCAGCAAAAAATACTATTCGAAGTTAGTGCATCAAAAATACCTTCCACAAAGTTCTGCCGGAGGTGTCAGTGTTTTTGTTACCGTTAGTTTCCTACTGGCACACCATTCCACGAAACTTTCACGAATAGCCCCCGGTTCCACAAATGTCCCGGGCCTTGCATGAAGTTAGTAAAATAGTTTTTGCAAGACCCTTTCTGTGCACTACCCTTCCGTTTGCCTCTGAATTTAGGCACCTGTGACATGACTGCGTATCGTTGAAGCAGCCACAAGCTGTCCCCTTCAAAGCAGTCCCTCACCTCAAGCGCAGCTTCATCGCCGTAGAGTGCCTCTCGCAAGGGCACAGCCTCGGCTTCTCAAATGCGCGACGCGTTTCCAAGTCGGGTAGTGGCACAGCGCAGGCCATGTAGTATAATTTGTCGGTATTGATCCATCCAATGGGGAGGGGAGCGGTAGATGTTGATCCATGAACTCCCCCACAGGTCCTGTTTTTTTGTAGTCGAACAAGTCGATCGTAGCTTCGAGATGGGACTTTGGTGTTCTCCCATACGACACATGGCTCATAGCGACCTTTGGACTTCATAGGCTTCTTGGGCTGGAGATCAGGATGTTGTCCCCATGTCTTCTCCCCCCTCAAGAAGCCAGGCCTATGCTATGAAGTGTGGAAACCGACTCATCTCATTCAAGGCGCAGGATCCAAGACATGGCCCAGTCATATACTGGATGGCATGGTATCATGTGCCCCTTTTCGGAACACATTGTCACATTGGGGCTTCAGTCTGCAGGAAGTGCTCCAGTCTTTGGTATCCCTCGCCCAGACTCCGACAAGGGTCCCACTTACCCAGGTCAAACGAGACTGGAGAAGTTCAAGGGATATTATCGAGGGTACGGCACGCCCTTCGCTTCCTGGAGTAACACCATCTTGGCAACTCTGTTGAGAATGGCAACTTGGAGACAATGTCGACTCGCTCTGAAAGAAATTAAGATACAACAAGTGAGTGATCATGACCATATAATTACGTACAGTATATAACCTATTGTTGACTCATACACATGCTCATCTTTAAAAAAATGGCAACAACCCTGAACCCTGCCAACAGAGGTTCATGTATGCTGTATGTGTGTGTGTGTGTCTTCCAACATGTCGGGTCCACATCTTCTTGAGACAACGAAAAGAGTGGTCTGGGCAACGCATTGGTTATCATGGTGGAGTAATTTTATGTTCTTCAAAGATGTACATGGGGGATATAGGGTGACACAAGCATAAACTGTGGGTCAACACCGGGATACCTTGATAACACGACTTGCGGACACTCAACGCGCTACTCCCAACATCCCCTTGGTATGCATGACCTACCAACGATACTTGCAGACTCTGTCTGAGCGCTTCCCAAGGGTTACCTGGAAGGTCAAGCTGTACATGGTGTTGGGTCACCACTTTTCTCTGCATCTGCTCCAAACGCTGGCCTTCACAGCAGAAGAAATCAGCTTGCTGTATCCAACCTTCCGGCCGAGGAACACGGGTACAGTAAGCGAAGTCTGAGCGGAGTTGAGAACCTCACTTAGTTTTATGAAAAGACAAATGTCACAGAATGTCATGTAACTGGGGTCCACGATCCAATGGCAGTCCTTTTTTGGAGGGATACCGCAAGCTGCAAACACCGGATCTTCCGAACAGCAAGGCTCAAGCTGCTTCACTTGCACCTCATCAGTGATTCCATCAAGCCAACAGTCACCGCTCGGACCCTCCGAGAGCACCTGCGCCAGCAAGTCGATTCCTTCCAAGCCTTCCTGCAAAAGCGGACAGGAAGAGTCCTTCCTACAGGAGTCTTTGCCAAAGCTTTTGGCTCGTTTTGCCATTAGTCTGTATTTTTGTAGTTTGGTAAGGTGGTAATTATATATGATTATATATAAATCGTCTCAAATACTTGCAGCTATCATGCGGTATTATATTGAAAGGGACAGGGGACAGGAACACCTTTCCACATGCAGTCGAAATCTGCTAGACTGGGCTCAGATGATGCGCCATGAGTGACGCGTGTTCCTCAAAATTAAAACAACAACCACACGTCGTGGCTCGGATTCCTTAAGTCCAAATGTGAGGTATCGTACCTCCAACTTGCAAGGAATTCCTTGGTCGTCCTGGTCATAGGGCTTTCGTGCTTTTCTCTGGAGATGTGAGACCAGGGAGACAGACTGACAAGTGACTAGGTGGACTTCACTTCAGATTCACCAAGGAATTTCTGATCGCACCTGTATCGCAATGAGATCTGGTGGTCTTCCCGAAGTCAACTCCATCAAACGTCGCCTCCGGAGACGGGTGTCACGGTATTTGAGGCAGCATAGATAGAAACAAGTTTGAAGGGGATTCACTGTATTTTCAATGTAACAATTGTAGTCTCTGAATCATGGTATGTGTCCAAGTGTAGCATATCAGCAGTTCTTATCCCCTATATAGACGCCTAAAAGTCCACGCCTGCATCCTTGACAAAGGAAGCAGGTCCTTATCCAACTCTTCGGTGGTTTCTAATTTTCAGTGACTGACATGCGACACTGTGGACAAATGGAAGAAGTAGAGAGACTTGGTTGCCTCTGCCCGACTATATACTTCAGACTTCAGAGGTTTCGCAAGTCAGGTTTTAAAACATAGAATGTTTTTCTTGAAGTCGCAAACCAAAAAAGCGGTCCACTTTTAATCTCTTCTGCAAGTGTTTGATGCTCACCATTTCATCACATCCAGATCCCCCAAGTCCTCGTTCCGCTCCAAGCAGCTCGGTGCTGGCGCCTGGCAATGCTGGGATCCTTGGGGAAGTTGGCCAAGTGCTGCAAGTTGAAGGTCATCACCTCGGTGAACAGGCGGCCTTCAAACGACCACTGTGCATTCTGAAGACCATGAATATGTTGATTGATTGGTGTCTGTTTAGAGTTCTGGAAATTCTTCCATATTTGTTCTTGGGGCCAAGGAACATGTGCATCGACTGATGGGATCCTTCCTTTTTCATTCTGTTTCTATCTATGGCTATATTGTACCTCCCATCCGGAACCTAGGTTTCAATACTTTTGGTTGCATTCGCAGTGTTTCCTAGCTTTTTGGAAGGGCTGGTTCTTGTTTGTCTTTCGGGGGTACCACCTATATTTATTATCCTGTAATTTATTCTCCTGTAATGCCTTGTTAGAGTTGTGAAGACGCATGCTTGCTTGAGGTACTTGGCGTTTTTGTTGCGGCTAAGTGATTGAACATGTTCTATACTCACCGCAAATGAGATGGGAGTTACGCCGCAAGTGAGATGGGCAGCGCCCACCGACAAGTCCTGACTCATGTTTGGGAACTAAGAATATTCTCATTGAAAGTAGACTGCCAAGTTGATCCAAGCCAGTTGGTTTCAGGCTTTGTAGCACTGTTGATGTTTCACAGAAAGTCCTTTAGTTTAAGTTAACAAATTAAGCCAACAAATCCTCCTAATTAAACTGGATGTTTGGGTAAAGCGCTCCACAAAAGAACTGTAATTAGCCAAACAAGAATCACCTGAGTAGTGTTGACTCTACTCTACTCTACTTGGGCCCTTCAAACATAAAACATCAGAAAACCTTACAAAAGATTGCAAAAGTACACCCCAAGAGGCCACCACTGAGCGCCCGGCTGCCAATTGCGGTGCGTGGTTCACTGGCGTGGAGACCAGTTTCCGGCGAGAGTGAAGTGACAAGTCACAAGCACCTGAGCTTGCCGTGGCATTCTTCATGATAAATCCTTGAAGGATCTCCCGCATGCTTTGGGCTCAAAAGATTTATATATATAGACTGTATGAAGCTATTGAAGTCCAAAGAGGGAAACATGATTCAATGTTTGCCTTAAGCCTTAAGGAATCCATGCGATGACGCGTCACGGACCGCATGCCCAAGTTGGCCAAACAATAACCAAAGCATGGCATGGATGTGCATGTGCGAAAGCACTAGCATGACACCGCGAGTCACCGTCGAACGTGCATCCTACAGCAGCTGGAAGAATATTGACCTAATTTGATCTATACGTGGGATGTGAGACAGCTTGCTTTGAGAAGGTTGTTTGATGTTGTTTGAACCAGTCAGTCTGCTGTGGGCCATGAAAAGGGGCCAGCCATAGCGCAAAGTAAGCCCTGCATAGACTCTACTCACAAACATGCAAGTGGTTTGGGCGAATTTGGTGAGCGCGTTCGTTGCCGTCTTTCAACGGCCTTTTCTTGGTTTCGGGGTCCAGAGTTCTTTTGGTCTTCAGTCAGACTGGCTCGCATTTGTTGCAATGCATCCACTCTCGGGGAGATCTGAGTCCCCAAAACATCTGGTCATCAAGAGGGGACCATAGAGGAACCGTAACCTGCTCCGTATGACCGTACTCTGCACTGAAAGAACCACAAACTGCCACGACCGCGTGAGAAAGGTCGGCATCCAGGGCGGAATTTTATCAAGTGTCTATTTGATGGGGCGAAAACATATACCTTACACATACCTTAGAATGGATCAAACTGATGGCCCGGGCCTGTCCACCCCCTAAAGCCAGGTGAATGCTTTTCCAGGCCAAGAAGCATGACATAGATTGACATAGCACCCACCGGTAATGGAATGTGATCCGATTTCTGGGAAAAAATATTCAAAACAAATGACTGTTACAAAACTCCAATACGACACAAAGGAAGTCGCCAGAGGATCACATGCTCCCCCGCTCGAGCGCCTCCCAAAAATTATCCGCCCGCTCCGCCTCCGATCGATCGCGGGCTCCGGCTTCGGTGGCCCGGCTTCCGTGGCTCCGATGTGTGACCTTCAGCAAGTTGGAGACCTTCAAAGAAAGCCTCGGCCACACTCTGCATCGCGCATCGAACGTGCGCCGTTCGGCGGAGGGATGGAGGTAAAAGCGGGAAGAAAGAGAAAGCACTTTCCTCGGAGCACTCTGGTCATGTTTTTGGCCAAGTTGGCTGAGTTTCATTACCCTGCCTTGTCATCGAAACATGTGGACGCGGCACCGAGGCTCCCAGCTGCTTCCCACTGTGCATCATGACGGCTAAACGGCCTAACTGCCGAGCCTGGCAGAAAAGGACACCAGGACCAGGAGCGTAAGCCAAGCAGCCAAGCAGGGTGTATACAAAGTGCAAAGCTACCCCTTCAAAAACATTCAAACACCACTTTTCTGTGGAATCTGGCAACGGAATTTATATATGTGCGGTTGTCAAAACTCCTTGGTCAATCTTATGCTATCAATAATTGAGGTCCCCATCCCTTTCCTCAGTTTTGGACAACTTTGGACTTCAGCTTGGAAGGGAGGCATCATTTTCATGTAGATAGGAAAGGCAGGCACCAAGCAAACAAGTCCGTATGAGCATGAGCACTGAAAGGAGACAAACCAAATAACCATCACTCGAGTCGAAGGCAACAGCAAAGCTCAGCTGACACAAGAAGAGCTTTGCAAGCAGCTAAGAAATGCTAAGAACATTCACCAAGCTGTTTCTGCAACACCTTTGCTGTTTACAAACTGAACTAATTATGTTTAAGTGAGCAAGTGATGGACTGGCATGATCGAGGGACCCGCTTTGGGTTTCGCTTGGGCCTAGGCATCGCTACGGGCGTCGCTGCAAATCCAAGTTTGGGCCAGTTACATGCCACGTGGAATTACCTATTTCACATCTTTTCACATCCTTTCACCCGAATCTCTTGCAAACATAGAAAAATGTCGAACAAACATTCTTGGACAATGTTCATCCTTCATGCTCTGGAGGGGCATCGTTCTTGCGGGGGGCCCATCACTTCATTGCAAAGTCTGAAGGATCGAAGGTGGCTCACATCTTCTGCTCGACATGCCGTGTTTTGACGGTTGCTCAAACAAGTTGCTCATATGGTCTTTTACGAACAAAAAGATGTCCAAAGAGATATCACTACATGATCCTTCGCTTCCTTCGCTTCTTACCGCCGAGATCTGGTTTCCCGATGTCACCTGAAGGCGCCATCCAGGCAAGGGGTCTATCTGTGTATTGGTCCAAGTGGGTCCCACAATGACACATCGATTCCGACTTCATTGAGCTTGAACACTTCATAGCCCAGTACTTCGCAATGAGAAGCAGAACGCTTTCGGGAGGTGGCAATTTTGAGTTGCTTCCTTGACCATCCTTCCGCAACACCCCATGTAAGCAAACAGTTCCAGATTTAGCAAGGCCATCCATGAATCCTTGACCAGTCGATTCAGTGACCAAAAATCATTCCTCCAATGGGACGCCGCTCCTCCCCGACTCATCTATCCATCCGGGTGGATCGGTTTGATCGGCCGCCTGTTCAGGAGATTCCAGTGAGAGCACGGTGCCACGCTGGCCATTGAGTTCCAGCTTCGAAAGGCCCCTTGTGTCGCAGGTGAGTGACCGTGGCGGAATCGTTGGTTCTGGGCTAGCAAATGAAGGAGGTAATACTCCAATGTTAGGAGGTGTCGAGGGTAATACACCCATGTTAGCAGGTGTTGGTGTGCGTTCTGTCTTGGTTTCTTCTGACGCAAACGAACCATATTCATTCTTTGTGGATCCATCTTCATCCGGTAGTTGGACCCCAAAATCCATGGCTACCCCACCCACGCACACACAAACGGCCCGATTGCTCCTAGTAGCGATGCCCTTTGTTCCTAGGTCCTAGTAGCTTTCTGTTCCTAGTAGTAAGGCCAGGAGCTACTAGTAGCGTTCTTGCTCCTAGTAGCGATGCCAGGAGCCCCTAGTAGCGTTCTTGCTACTATAGTAGGGTATGTGGATCCACCGAGCTTTCATTCGAAACGTGCACTGCAGACTTCGGGGCAGCTTGAAGCATTGGCACTCCAATGCACGTTGCTCATTGTTGCTCAAGGCTGCGTAGGTTCTATAAAGCCTTTGGCGCTACCGAACGCATCGTTCGCTGCGAATCCATGGCGCGCCAGCGCGCGGTCGGAGGATTGGGATGGAAGTTAGTCATGCATGGTTAGCCACTCAACCAACAACCGTTTTGCTTGTTCAAACAGATCTGCTTGTTCAAGTGGGCCATGAACATGATTAACGTCCTAAGTAAGCCAGTCCACACCAAAACATGGGCGACAAAACACTATATACTTGTGGTTTGCCAGTTCCGAATTCTTTCTACCGTAATTTGGATCACCCAAGTTGAGACTGCATGGATAAACATAAGGAACAACAACATCGTGGATCAAAATAAACAGTTGAACCAAAATACAGTTAAACCTCATCGTGGTCGTCGACCCACGTCGCTTTGGGCCAAAGCCGATGGGTCTTTCCGTGTCTTTTCGAAGGCCTGAGCTCCACCTCATCGCCAGCAGCAAAGCCCCACTCCTCCATGTCAGGCCTAAGCTCCACAGACTGTCTCCAGTCTTGTCACACGGGGAGACCTCCCAGGGGAGGTGTATATTTCAATGGGGAGACCTCCCAGGCAACGACACCCAGGAAAAATGCAAATAAGCCAATACATACCAAAACCCATGAACCAAGGGGATCTCCCTACTAAATTCACCCCCAACAATGGTGAATGACCAGTTTTTCAACCCTCGATCAGGGATGGGGAGGGAATGGTCTCATCCGTTGTTGTCTCGGTGGTTGTTGTCTCGCCATGTTTTGCTTCCTTGGCGAGCTTGAGACACCAAGACCAACTGTTTTCTGTATTTAACTATTAATTCAACTGTTAACCTCACAGATCATGCTAGAATACACCTGAAAAAAATGATCGGTCACCGGGCCTGCAGATCCAGAGTCACCATGAATTCATCGCTAAGCGTGGTTTGGACACGGTAGGCATGAGATTTGGGTCAGGTGAGAATATCTTCCTTGTAAAGTTGGACCTCTTCAGTTAGCAGAAAACACAAACGTAGCTGCTCCAAGATGCAGAGTTGTTTCCAAAGGCAACCCCTTCAAAAGTGTCTGGAATAAGGCACAAACGGATGATTGAAACATATTCAAACCAACTAAGTGGTTGGTGTGTGTCTCTCCCGAATCGTCTACAAACCCAAAAATGGTTCTTCATGGAATGCGCTGCCGAATAGAGGATGAATGAACTGTAAACTTTGGAACTTTATGCCAAACATTGAGAAAAGTGGTTGGCTGGATCTTGTGCTGCTTGATGTTGCTATCTTTGAGTGCTCCCTTCAGGCCGAAAGAGCGACCGGGCCGATGGAATGTGACCCCGTCACATCTTCGCACTCCCTTAAGCACCCTCATGCTTCAAGGTGACCATCTTTGCCACAGTGGATCAGGATGGAATCAGGAATCCCACCATAGAAAAACATCATTTTACGAAGGAATAGGTCACCTGCTAAGAGTCCTGTGGAAAAAAGAGTCGTGAGTCCTCAAGAACTGGAACACATGCGGGTGTTTGTTGAATCTATGTCAATGGTGGATTTCAGACATGTGATGATGTCATGCAAGAACAGGCGTTGCAAGTGGTTAGGAACAAGTTGTGGACATTCCTTGAACCCGACACGACTCTCCGGCCTTCAAAACTCTCCTGACAAGGATAGGTTATGGAGCAAAGCAATTCTTCATTGCTCTGCTCGGTTCCGCTAGCCGGATGAAAGACTATGTATATATATATATATGATCAATCATAGTATATATAGATAGATAGATATATAGATCTTCCAAGTTGACCAGACTGATCAACGATGGTCGACCTTGGGTTGTGCCTGTAAAGATCGTTCACTGGTGCGAGAGGCTTCCAGATCTGCCTGGCACTCGAGTCAGTCGTGCAAAAATGGCCTTCTGGAAGTGTCTTGAGTCATTTGAACATGGATCACAATCCCCAAAAAAAAGGAAGTCGTCACGACGCTCAAATGGCAGCAATCAATGAAGTTCCCATGAAACTAGTTTTTGCATGGTTTTATATATGTTTGCACGCTTACTCAAGATAAGCCTCCCAAGTTGTGATGTCATATGTTCCGATCCTTCAGACCCCCAGCGCCTCGCCGCGCCTCGCCTCCAACTCGTTGACCCGCTGGGTGTTGGAGCTCCTCCCCCGTAGCTGATCCTTGAGGTCCTCGACCGTCCTCCGTGCAGAGAAAATGCACAGGTGGCGATTCTCAAGTGCTGGAAGCAATTTTGATGCCTACTAGTAACAGGTGCCTTACTAGTAGTAACAAGAAGCTATTAGAAACAAGAAACTCTAGGCATCAAAATTTACTTTAATTTTAATTCTAATAGCTTCTTGTTACTACTAGTAAGGCACCTGTTACTACTAGCGTGGCACTTGTTACTACTAGCTTCTTGTTTCTAATGGAAGCAATTTTGATGCCTAGAGTTTCTGCTTGCACATGATACGTATATGATCTCATGGTGTTATATGCCATCAACGCTGTGAGCCTGGGATCGCTTGCGTATGTTTCGAAATTCGTTCCTAGAGCCATTTTTGCAGGTTTGGTCCGAGACCTCTACAAATATGCTCACGCGGTCCTCGCTTTAAGACACCATTTCTCTGCTCGCGTCTGTGCGTACGTTCAAAACACCGTATGTATGCGGAAAAGTATGCACAGCAATTGGAAGACGCTCCAAGGCTACTATCTGACGATGCAGGCGAGTGATTAGTCCTCATCCTTCAACGAGGCAAGCATGGCTTGTTGAGAGTTGTTTTCAAGCAAAGGCTGATGCTGATCATGTGTTCATACTTTGCGTTTTCTTGAGCCGCTTGACTTGAGCCGCTATATTGGATGAAATTGTTCCGAATTACCTTTTAGCCTGGAGGTCCAGAATGGACCGCTCAAGTACTTGATCGTAGTTCATCACATGTCCGACATGTGGCATCACGCAATACATGAAGCGCTCAATAAGATTTCTCAATTCTAAATGCCCCCCAATGCGCAGCTTCTCCACAGACAACATATGCTCCCTCCTGAAAAGGCAGTGGCTGCAAAAGAGTATACCCGACCGCAGTCCACGTCGATAAAAATATAGTTGATCCCATAAACTTGGATTTCCACTCCTTCATCACATGCGACAGTCCTGGCCAAGAAGTCACGCTTGGAGGCGGTCACCGCTGTGACGTCGCGGTCACTGCGCTTCGCCTCCGTGGTGGAACATGGAGGTCTGGCGACTAGTAGCAAGGTGCATCGCTATTACAAGTAGGAGCAAGGTGCCTTCCTACTAGTAGCAAGAAGCTACTAGTAGCGCACTTGCTACTATAGTATACTATAGTAGCAAGAATCTAAGAAGCTAAGGGTCTTACCAAGGAAGCCACAAATCCTAGGATCAACCCTTCCCCCAGGATCAACCAGAAGCGCAATCGGCGTCTTTTCTCAACCAATCGCTTCTCGGCACAGGACCGAGACAAATCGGACATCCGTCCGATCAAATGTGGGAGGAGTGGGCAAGACTTGCCATCCCATGGATCCGAGGCATTGAACATATTGGCTCATAGTAGCGTTCTGGCTCCTTGATCTCCAGGATACTTCCACAAATTCTGATACGCCCACATCTTTGGCCTCAGCGCGATTGGACTCTGTGCCACGGTCCGGTTTGGGGGGGATGCGTGTCCGGGCTCACGGCATCTGGGTGGAACACGTTTGCTTCCTTCAAAAAACGAGGCTTCACCACCAAAGCGAAACATCTTTGCAGGATGTTGCAGGCCTTCAAGAGTTCCGAAACACGCTGATCGGCACTTGCTTGACCTGAGGGAAGTCAGCTTGACAACTGCACCTCTTTGTCGCAAAAAAATATCGGGTGGGCAATATCTTGTAGAAACTGAGATAGATTAAAGAATTAAAGGCAAGATGTGTGCCATCGTGCCTACTCTCCCATCTTTCTAACAACGGTTATGTCAGTTATGTTTCGACCCTCTTAGGGCTCATGGCTCACATCGGTTTGCCCAACGGCCAAACACTGGATCGACAATAGAAATCACTGCAGCACCATGCAGCCTTCATCGAAAATGCGCACCGTCCAACTTGCCGGAGAAGGCTCTCCCTCAGACCCTTCAAAAGCCTATAGGTTTCATGACACATCAAACCATTGCCCAAACCATAATCTATTTCCGCATATTTCCGCATAAAGAGCCCATCAGCCCATCGTATCGCGATCCATCGTGATCAGCATGTTTGTAGCAGAACACGGTCAGAACAAAACGTGGTACCCAATCCACGAATACCCCCCCTAAACGCAATGGATTTCCTTGGTGCGAGTGAACCATGTCATTAGTGGGTACCGATCTCTGTCAACTGGGATTTATCCATCTTCAATCGAGGAACCTCATGGAAGCTGCTTCATCTGCGTCGTGCTCCTCGGACATCAGGGCAGTCGAGAGAAACGCATGACTGGGAAATGTCCTTCGTCCCTCCTCACCGATGAGTAACCCACCCAATGGATGACGCCAACAGTCAGGCAAGAGTCGTAAGAGCAAGGAGCAAAGATCAGGAAGGGGCAAAAGAAAGGGGTTGATGCTGCAAATCAAGCAGGATCAAAATAAAGGCTGGGCACATTTTCTATGCTTCTCACAATGTTCTCAAATAAATGGCACTCTTGGCCATTCATGAAATAGTCACAGGCAGCCAGCACTATGGAGCAAGATGTGACAACACTGTCCTTTGCCAGGAAAGCACGTGATCATCAATACTTGAATCGTTCAATGAGTTTAAAAGTCCTTTGCCCAGGAAAGACCCATTTTTGAGATTCTAATACGACTATATAATACAATGGTAGCTGATGTAGGTTTCTCTAGCTCTTCAAAAACTGACAGCTTCCCAAAGCCATTGACTCCTTTATCAACCCTTTTATGTGAAGACTCCTCCCAAACAAATGTTCAAGGTAGTGGACCAGGAAGGCACCGACCCTCCTCTATTCCACTGAAACACCGAAGCAAAGGGACAAATCACCGATCCGTTCCGAGTAGTTGGTCGCGATGACAATGGCGGAGTTGTAACACATCTACGACCTCGGAATCGGGACGCAAGAAACAGAACAAGGGAATCTGTGCAAAACAAGTTCGGGAGGTGGTACTGGTACTCCGAACTTGGATGGCACAAATGTGATGTGATATTACACTAGAAACAAATACAACATGTTGGAAGCGGCACGAAGTGGCAGCCCAAAGCTTGTGTGGCGACTCAGCCAATGATTTCATCGTTGACCAAAACTGCACACCCATTCGAGGTTCATACTGGCGAAGCTGAAGAAAAAATCAAAGGTGGGTCAACGGGTCAACGCAGTGCCTCAGAGGTCATCCCAATCTTAGTTTTTGACACTGACATCTGAGGATGACATGCTCTGCGGCACTGAGTGTGAACACCCAGTGTTAACAGTATGAGACAACAAATGCTCATGTCAACACCCAGTGTTTGTTAGGACAGTGACATGCTGTGCTGCGACGGTCCAGCTTTGCCCAAGACCAAGCCGGCAGCCTGCGAGCCAGTCAGCAGCGAAGCACCCTCCTGGAAAAAAAAAAGTAAAGCCTGCCCAAAAAGACATAGCTCTAGCCGACACAGTGTACCCTGCCATGTATCATAACCAAAAGTATATAACAAATAGTCAATCTACGTTGCTTTGGATAAACACACTCGAAATCGCGGTGCTTTTGATCCATACTTCGATATACTTCGCAGCACCACATCAGACCATCTCCTCATCAATCTCTCTCAACAAGCTGGTCAACATCTCTGCATCCAGCTGTTCTGGCAAGTGCTGTGCATGGGTCTCCTGCACGAACAAACACTCGCTGACGGTCTGCCCGAACCTCCCTTTCCCATCCTTTCCCCGTTCCGAAAGCATGCGGGAGGGCAACAGTAACAGCTAAAGCAAATGTCAATTGGTAGTGATTAGTGGGGTGAGAATCATGGAGTCAACGCAGAGAAATCCGGTGCAGATTGAACAGTATGAGTCCAGCACTGACTCTCGTGAAGATGTCCCTACGACCCAACACATATTATGGTGACTGGGTGCTGGAGTGGATACCAGGAAAAACACTGTGGATGTCAAAGTTAAGGCTGGACATGGCGATAGTTTAGGAGGTCTGAACTTCTCAACCTATAAAGAGAAAAATGTAAAAATAAAGAGGATGAGTGGGTCAAAGACTACATGGAAAATAAAGACAGAAACAAAAATGCAAGTAGTAACAATGCGAACTGATTGTCAAGGCAGTGTCAAGGCTATGAAGGAGCTGATTGCAAAGGCTGAAGAAAGGAAACGTTACAAAATCACTTCCAAACTTCCTCCAGTGAAGTTGTGTTCGTATTCACGGATTCAAATTCACAGAAATATGACTATATTTCAAACTATATTAACTCTGCAAAGGACAATTTTGTAAGTGGGGAAAACATGCCTCATAAGCAGTTCAAAATAGTTCAAATACATGTCCCGTCTGGATCTTCTTTCGCACACATCCCACCTCAGTCCCCCGACCCAGTGCAGGATTGAGGACTCGCAGAAACTTTCAAACGCAGGGCCGAAGCAAACCAGTTGTTAGCAAAGCAAAAAGAACTCCAAAGAGCTTGGGGAGGAAACGAAATCACATCAAGATCGACCTACTGTAATTCATCGACTTGTTGAGACCCAACTCAATTGATGTTGATCTATGAGCTGGGCCGGCCTTTTGACCCAAAACGGTCGACCGATGGCGACGGCGGGGTGAAACCGCGGACCCGTCCGGCTCCTCGATGGCTTGCTCCCTCCGAGCACCTTCGAAGCTGGAGCAAAGCGCTTCATCGGAGGCCGCCTTCCATCGGAGGGGTCGGATGGTGATCCATCGGAGATCTTCGGAAAAATGCTTCTTCCTTCGATCGGGTGGGTGAAAAGGGGGATCGGCTCATATATGGGGAAACAAATCACGGTCGGGAAGGTAAAGAGTCTTGGATGATATCTATCGACAGGATTCAACAGGGCCATTTCGGAGCTTTTTTATATTGCATGAATATCAAGTTATTGTCCATCCCTAATCAACCACAAGCTACAGAAATCGTTAGAGGTCTTCACAGCAACTAGTACAAACATGTACAAACCCGATAAACCCGACATTTTAGTGATGTCCCTGGCAGCACTCTGGGCGACTTTGCCAACAAATATGCCTGAAGGATCAGCTGCTGGCACTCTTCCTGAAGGACCCGAATAGGTCGAAAACGAAGGTGGGTAGGATACTGAGATCAACGGAACATCCGTGATCGAGTTGGTCAAGGAAACCATCTACGAGTACTCACCATCTACGTGTGGCGGCGTCCTACTTTCCAGATGTCTTGAGCCTAATGGAATTTGGGTCGCTATCAAACCACCTCTGCTTGTTAGACAAAGGCAACATGTCAGAATATTTCAGCTATGTACATGGACTGTTTGAAGATCAAGAAACAAAGTGATACAGTAATCACCCAGAAGTCTTGAAAAGCCAATTCACGTGTCGTTCTGAGGAAATACATAACCCGTGTCTTCGTCGAAAATACCTTAGCAACGCCTGGTGTCCGGGGTTCACAAAAGCCCCAGCTACTGTCCTTGGCAAACCACATGTTAAATGACTTAAGATTCAACTTCAAAACTAATTAAAAATATATAATTGAATCATATTGAATCTATTTGACCCCTGTCAGCAGCAGATCTGGTTGTCAAATCAAAAGCCCATTGCGAAACGCAGGTTGTTCTCTTGTATCCTGCCCGAAGTGCTGTTGCAATCTGTCCTCGCTCCGTTAATCTAGGGTAATTAAGACACTGCCACCTCGACTAGTGACTAGTACGACAAATTCTTGCACGCTTGGCTTCACCGAACGCGGTTTTGGCTGTGCAGAAAAGAAAACAGATTGAAGATTGAAGACGCATCTTAAATGGGTCTCTGAAAGTACCCGCAAGCGCCGCTTGTCTGCATGTGTTCATCTACTTGTCCATTGAAAACTGCGATCTTCTTGACACTCTTCTTGACAACGTCGTCTGCAAGGACGGGAGAATCGACTCAATGGGTGAAGTCTGCTTGAGTTCTGCAGAACCGAATGGCCTTGTGTCCGGACGTTTCGCTTTGGAACAGATGGCGGATCTCACAGACCCCAACCACCGCCCGAGCCCCAAATGGACCACCCAAACATGTCCACCGATGTTCCATGTCACATCGACTCCCAGCTTGGGTCGGTGATTTCCGCAGAACCGACCTTCAGCCATTCTAAATCAAAGCTGGATGAAAGAAAAAGAATGGCTTCTGTCTTTTGGGCCTCTTGAACAAGGCATCTCCCCTTTTAAAAACAATGGCCACATAGGGGCTCATGGCCTTACTACTAGGAGCAAGAATGCTACTAGGGGCTCCTGGCATCGCTACTAGGAGCAAGGACGCTACTAGGGGCTCCTGTTGTGTCCACCAGAGGTGGCTTTATTCTTGAATATCTCGAAATCAACAAACTTGCAAAAGAGCAAAAAAAAACAAGCAAAACAAAGAGCAACCAAGAAAGCAAAAAATAATGCAACCAAAAAAGCACAAGCAAAGCAAAGAGCAACCAAGAAAGCAAAAAAGAACACAAAATGCAACCAAAAAAGCACAAGCAAAACGGGTAGTTGGAGGGGCCGGGTAGGGTTAGTACTGGACAAGGGTCTTTTCTGGCGCCGGGTCAAGTGTCGCACTTTGGTCGCTTGTTGTCGGCGCCAGGTCAGAAGTCGCACTTTGGTCACTTTTTTCTCCTTTTGTTTCGGGGGAGCGGTAAAAAGTCGCACTTTTGGTCGCTTGTTTTTCGCTTTATTGTTGCTTAAGCGAAAAAAAAGCGACCAAAAGTGCGACTTTTTACCCGGCCCCAGAAAAATTTTAATAAAAGCGAGCAAAAGTGCACCAGAAAGTGGACCCTCCCCCAAAAGTGCGCCAGAAAGCGCGCCAGAACGTGGACCCTTCCAAAAAGCGCGCCAGAAAGGCCGGCTGAGTTGTTCCATTTTTGCTTGCAATTTGGTTTTCTGCTTTTTTGCTTTTATGATTGCTTTTGTTTTTTCTGGCTGCAATTTGTGATTGATTTTGTTGCTCTTTTTTTGCTTTTGTGATTGCTTTTTTTCTGGTTGCATTTTGTGATTGTGTTTTCTTGCTTGTTTGTTTCAAGATGATAAACTTCTAGAATAAAGGGGTCTGGCAGACACAAGGCTCCTGGCCTTATTAAAAGAGACAAACAAAAACACTCTTTCAGCCGAGGCTTCGCTCAGCCTTCGGCCATAGAGCTCTGCGCTCAACGCTTCCGCTTCGGCCTCCCGCACCTGGCGAGCTGAGAAGAAGAGGATGGAGGATGGAGATGGTACACTCTGACGAACACATCAAATGGTTACGTGGAGTTCATCTCTTGTGCTGATGCTCCACCGTGTAAACCCGAAGACAAGGTTCGCATGCTACTTCCCCTGAAGGCCCAGATCCAACCTCGCGTTTGGTTTCACACTTTACCTCTTTTCTGGTTTGCCGTGGTCCCTGCTTCTGCTTCTCATATCCCACTTTACCTCTTTTCATGCCACTTGCTCAGAGTCACGCCACCTGTGCTGGGCTCGGTTCACAATGGACGAGGTTGCGTGGAGTTCACCATGGTCCCAAAAGGAAGATTAGTGTTCTTTACAAACAGGGGGTGAACTCCACTTCCATGTGATGTGTTCGTCGGAGTGTAGGTGAACGCGACTGGAGCTTCCAGGATCTTGGATGATCTTGGGCTATAGCGGCTAAAGTACATTGGATAATTGCAGAACTTCAAGAAACAGTCCCGCAGCTTCCTTTCTTTGCAGACCTCTGTGGGACTTCCAAGCTCAAACGAATTGTCAGTGAAATGGGAAGGATTGTCCCCAAATTCCAGAACTCATGCTTGACTTATGACCTTTTGATTTGAAATCTGTCACATCAATGTCTCTATGACCTGTCTGACGTAGGTGTCTGACCTGTCTGTGACCTGCTCACGTTTTCCACCCCGTCCGTCAGCCGTAGCTCTCACCTTCTCCACCCGTAGCTTCGCCATATCCACCCGCGCGGTGTCGCAGTTCCGCCGCTGCTTCTGCGCTTCATTCAAGGCATGCATCACCTGGTGAGGCGGCAGACGAAACGCTGTTGAAGAGGCAGACTGTGTTGATCCTGTGCTGTGCTGCTCAAGCTGGGGGGATTATGGGTTACCCACTAAAGGGAAGAGTAGATAGACCAAAGCCTGCAGGTTACCAGAGAAGCATGTGTTGATGAAGATTGAATTGTACAAGCATGTCAAATGTGTTCGCGTGTTTACGAACATGACTGCCGGAGTTCAACTTACAGTCCATCGGTGTGTTGATGAGTTGGGCAAACGTGGATCACCTGCCAACAGCAGTTGCGAAGAGGATTTTCAGACATACTGGGGGATTCATAGACGTTTCGAAAAGAAATAGGATGCGACGTGCCGGGTTTGGGAAGATGGTTTTCGATATATATATATATATGTTATGTTATATTCTCACATATTCTCACATAGCAAAGGCCAAAAGGGGACCGCCTTTCTTGACCAAGAATCTGCAATAGAAATCTAAAACGAATCAACAGTGGTAAGTGGACATCTGAGTTGGGGAGGTCTAGCAGCATCTAGCATGTCTTATTTTCAAGAAGGGTTGATTTGGAGGGATTTCGATTGAGAAATTGTAGCGACGACTCCAAAAGGACAACGCGCACACCCTTTCGTCGGAGAGACCGACCTCCGGAGAGACCGTCAACTCCGTCATCTCCAGTGAATGGACGGCAAAGCCATAGCTCTTCAAGTAATCGGTCAGCTGCTCACGAATGGATAAGCTGATCTCGTCTTTCTTGCCGAACCTGAGATGTCTCGTGTGATCTGGCGTGGTGAGGCTGATAAAAAGCCATCCCTTGCCTCATTAAAGTGCAATCAAAGGTCACTTCTTCCAGAGTATGCTTGTTCAAGTATGCCCGGATTGGTCCGATCCTCACGCGTGCCAGCGTGTAGAAAATACTCGTTGAAATGCTCACCCCAACCATTGTCTGATTTGAGAGTCCTCAGTTACTATGTCACATGTTTGGTAAATCCCCCAGGGCACTCACTTCCCTCTCTTAGCTATGATCAGAACATTGCCAGTTGACGGTGGTATCTTTTGGAGTCTCGAATTGAAAGGCAACCTAAAACACTAAAACACACATTGAACACAACAAGGCTATTGCCAAACCAGTGACAAGATTGGGATTCCAAACAGTGATGGGCACGGATTCTTTGAGACACGTACGCGCAAGGTCGATTAAGGGCCTCCGATCATTCAACTGCTTGCTAGAATCAAAAAGGACCTCAGCATGCCACCCAACTCTTGCTGCACCAGCTTGTAGATCGCTTCTTTGGCTTTTGAAGGGATCACTGAATACCTGCGACAGTGCAATGGAACCATCAAAGTTAGAAGGGTGATTGAACCCCCAAGTCCCACGGGCTTTCGCCTACGTATCTTGCAACTTGGTCTTTAAGTGTCTGCGTCGTGCTGCTCTGAATAGATGTCAATACCTTCTTTGGTGTGCTAAAGATCGTGTCAACGGCACAAAAAGGTGGAATGAGTCACGGCAGCTGAGGTGTTTCGGCGGCAACCATCGTAGTACCCGTAAGGGCTTGAGTGAAAATATACCTGGAGAATGAGATGGTTTACTGTTCTACCTGCTCTTCTCTAAAAAGGTGACATCACGATGTGGAAGATAGATGGGGAGAATGGAGAACTGCAGCATAAGAAGAACTTCTGGTTGCTTAGCTCACTCATAGCTGGCAACATGCAGCAAGCATAACACCCCTCACTGGCTTCTGTCAAGAGGCACTCGGATCAACAGTGTTTCACAGATACAGTATTTCGTCTGTTTTCACCCAGTCCACTGTCAACACTAAAGCGCTTTTGTGCCCAGGCACTGTATCACCACTTGCGCAGTGATAAACTCATGATCCCTGGTCTGTGTGGTGACTTTGCAGTACTCCTCCTGACAGAGAGCACTAGAATCTTTCGGCACAGGACCGTGCATTAAATGAATCCATGTCAGGCCGTCCCTTCAACAAAGACCTGCAAAGACCAACAGGCCTTGCATAAGAGAAAGAAACGTATCCATCTTTTTGAGATCTGACATAGTACCAAAAGACATTGCCATGGCTGGGAGCACTGTAGCCATTCGGCCACTCTATATACATTGATCCACACAAAAGTGTTGGGAAAAACATCCCGACGCGTGGATTTCTGAACGTGTGGTCTGGTGGTTTTTTTGCTTTTATCTATAGCACTCCAGCGTGGTATTTGCAGTGCTTTTGCAAGTTGAATGCAGAGAAATGAGTGTATTTCTAAGGGGTTTTACAACTTTCTCACATGCCTCGCAGCGTTTTCGCAGTAAGTGTGGCCAGGGAATCATGCTTGGCATGTTCCCATCGCCACTGCCACGCCCTTGCGTGACGCCAGATCTTCTGATTGATCTTTGTCTTATCGGTGACGTCCGTGGTTCTGATCTGCTTGGGCAAAGCTTTTTTCAACAAAGACCAAACTCCATCAATCGTGCCCGTATGAACTTTCAGAGTCTTTCTCTTGAACTTCACCGTGTGACAAAACTGACCGGATCGGTGAGAACAAGCAAAGTGTTTTACCTGCATCTTTTCACACAAAGAAGGATAGACTTTTGCCCCATCAGAGAACAGAACGGTTCGTTGGCCAAGTCCGTCGTGACTCATGATGTGGTCCAAGACACCGCTCTTCTCAATCGCCTTCTTGCCTTCCACTGGCCATCGACCACGGCAAATGAAAACGCCCAGCCACAAAGATCTTCCACAAAAAATTCAGGTCAAAACACCCTTTTGACTTATGCGCCAGCATACACCAAATCTCGGACAGGACACAAAAAGGTGATCTTGTAGGTCGAGCCAACGGCAAAGCCAGAATGGAAGCCGCCCAGCCGCAGCACTAAGACCAGGGCCGCGCAAAGAGCGCGACGGCGCAGGAGCACCTCCATGAAGACGTAAAACTGGAGCCAAAGGAGGAAAAGTCCGACCAAATCGGCAAATACATCATGCAAATTGCCCCCCCCCCCGAAAACTGCGAAGGAAGATCATTCGGCTGTGGAGGTGCGAATGTCCTCACATTGTTCTCCAAACTCTCAGCTTCGGTGGGTCGGGACGTGCACTGGTAGTCAGCCCTGGTCTTCATACTTGGAAGGAACTTCATATTGCCTTTGACATCTGACAGCTCCGAAAAGGTACGTGTTCGAAAAATGCAACCACTACACGTGCGGTTTTCCACGCGTAGGCAAAAACATGGACCTCACAGATAGGGCTGCTTCATAGTAGGGGTCTCTTTGGTCCAGTCTTCATGTCTCGGTGTGCCATCTTGAGATGTTTGGGGAGCCCCAATTCTTGGGGTGAAAATGAGGCTCTGGCGCTCTTCCATAAACATACGTTCACCTCAGCAAGTAGAGTAGCAGCTTTGAAGATCACATTCCCCAATCCTCCCGTCCCATCCCGCTTTTCCCCGTGCTTATTAAAGTCATCTCTTCCACGTGCCTGAGGTTCACCCACCATCGAACTTCCAACCTCAAATATACAATCCCCCTACCAGCTGGGCCCCTAGGCCCGGGCGAATGTGATCCAATTTCGACCTCGTCACCCACGCGCTACTAGGGGCTCCTGGCCTCGCTACTAGGAGCAAGAACGCTACTAGGGGCTCATCACTGCATGCTCCTCCAGGCGTGTGGAGATGCTCCGCAGGGCCACGCACTGCCCACAGAGGTCCAGCCCTGCGAAGCTGAGCCCCGGCCCTAGCAGTTTGCGGAAAGCACCGAAGCGCTCCTCAGACGGACTGGACGGGTGGTCAAGCAGGTTCCAAGACGACACATGGCAGGTGTGTCGAAGCAAATAGGGATTCCAAGCAAGAGGGGTCAAGAGGGACGATGTGCATTTCTTCTTAGTCTTTCTTGCATTAGTCTTTGAGCAACAAATTGTTGGAGGATCTGTGAAGGTTCTGGAGATCCTAAGTGACAAACATATTATGTGGGTTCAGCGGAAGAGTGAAAAGAGACCAAAGAAATAAAACTTGCCTGCACGAAGGCACCAAGCCCTTTAAAGGCCATCCACTCACAGTGTTTGTTTGGACTTGTTATTCCTGTGCTTTTTGTTTATATTGCTTGAAAGAGCCAAACATCTGCAGTGAACTCTTGGTTGATTATGATTGATTTATTGATGATGCAACCATGTTGCAAATTGTTGTCTTTGCAAGATTCCAATGTGGTTCTGTGTGACATAAATCAGTTGGGTGCCGCCATGGATGGATGTGCTGATTCAAGAAGCTGTGGCAGATGCTCAATGGGTTGAAGGAAGAAGCTGTGGATTGAATTGCTTTTGGAAGAATGGGATCCCCAACAAGAATGGCCTATGGATAATGACAACTTTAATGAACCAACAAGGACGCTACTAGGGGCTCCTGGCCTTACTACTAGGAGCAAGAAGCTACTAGGAGCAAAGGGCATCGCTACGAACGGAGGAAGGACGCTACTAACTACGCTTATTGTTACTACTAGCTTCTTGTTACTACTAGTAAGGCACCTGTTACTACTAGCGTGGCACTTGTTACTACTAGCTACTAGGATTCCACTGCTCTCAACTTGCTTCAAGGATCCACGGCCACGTACGTCTCTGCAGGGACATTTACCTGGGCGCCGCCCAATACCGTGGCGGGCGAAAACAAAGCCTCAAGGGAAAATGGTCGTAAAGTCCTAAATAGGGATTGTAGGAATGAATATCATCAGGTCATATCACCACAGCTTTCATCATAACGTTTCAGAACAGCATCACATAATCTTATCACACCGTATCACCTCATTCATGTTCATCAAATAGTCATCAAAATCAACGACATCAAAGCATTGCATAACCTCATTCACTGGTAGGAAATATATATATATATTACCAGAAATATTGTGTTCCTAAAACCAAATCTCCTTAAGCATTATCTAGTTTCGTTCATAATAGCAGTAATTCCCAGATCCTATGTGTTCATCAGATTTTAGTTAAAATCGAATCAACATCTAGTTCGATGCGTCTACCGATGTTCCAAGGGCATCAACACATGTGCGAGTTCTACTTGTACAGACCGAACAACTGAGTTCAGTACAATTTAACTTGTAAAGCAGGGTTGGGTTGCTTTAAGCAGCCCACCAGAGTGTGTCTCTTCTTTGGATTCTGCGATGTGGTTCTTTCTCTGCAAGGCCCCTGATAGCAGATCCGGGTACGCCACTTAGTGAGCAACAAAGTGTCAGACTCGGTTGGACCTACGTTTCACTCAGGACTAGTTTCGCTTGGCTTCGCTCAATCGGTAAATCTAACAAATAATTGATAGATAAATCGGTAGATAGATGGATAGATGGATCGACGCATGACTAGATAGACTGTGCCACAGTAGCTCACACTGAGACTCATTACTGAGACTGCAAATCGAAACTTACCAACCTACTAGCGATGGCCTCCAACCTCGCGTCTTGGCTTGCACATGGATAATCAGCAATTGTGGGCCACGGTGCACAGCAGTTTGTCCCCGGCAAGCAAGCTCCGTGCTGCATCCGAGGAAATCACCAGGAATGTACGATGCTGTTATCTGTGTAGCTTTGTCCGTCCCTGGTCCACTATGCACCATGGTCTGCTTATGTCACTCGAACACTTTGGTGTGAGTGGACAACAATTCACCCCGGCTTAAAATGGTAGGCAGTAGGCCTCTGTCACTGTCAGAGCCATGTTTCTGTAGTGACTCTCCGAGCGAGCAAAACATTCCCACCCTTTCAATCCACATTGTCACAAGTAGGACCCGAACCCACTCTTCTGTGTATCAATGTGTATCAGATATATTATGGAATCAGGCCATATCGGGCCTAGGCAAAACAATTGAGCAGAGTGAAAAGGTAAACCTCCATGTAGCCAACACCTCCCATGCAGTTTTGGCTGCGCACGAGGCGCACGAGCCCTTGGAGCGCTTGGATTGAACTCTGAGAAGATACACTCCGCAGGGCTGTTCCATGTGTGCCACATGGAAAAGAGCACTGCAACAAAGATACTTTTTGAAACCGCGTGGCTGCGAAACTCGAACGATCCCTGTTGTTCAGGGCGACCTTCTGGCTTCGAGTCTGTGGACAGCATGGTGATCTTCAACAGGTGTTTAAAGCATTAAGTGTTCAACACATGCTACTCACCAGGAGACTGGTATACAGGGTGGCAAAATATAAGTGCTTCCTTGAAGGAGATCGGACCCACACAAAAGCTGAAAACGTCCAAAGTGTTCACCCCTGAGTGCACAAGAAGTGTTTGAAGAGCTGTGCCATACCACGAAAGCCGTCAAAGGCTTGGAGGCTTGGAGACACGTTGAGCAGGCCTGTTTCGGCCCGGCCGGTCAGATACATATTACATGCATGTACCTATATACGTTCTGACAAGTATAACAAAACCGAAGCTCTGAGACCAATCTTTTCATCAGCATGCAACATACAAAAAAACCTGCAACTCGTTGAATATCAAACGTGTGCAGAACTCTTCTTCTGCACGAAGCCCACAAGTATTTGCTTTGAACAAGCGAGCCACCCGAACCCAAGTGTAAATCGTCAGACTTGACGTCCAAAATACCACAGCATAGAGGTGTCACAGTCACAAACAACTTGCAAACATGTTCGGAGCTCTTCGCTGCAAAATGCTGGTGGATCAAAGGGAAGCCGTGGTGTTTCGGAGTGATCAGAACTGGGTTCTGTCCGGCTGACTGGTCGGAGGCGGACGAAGGCAACGGCCCTCTGAAAGTCGGCCTGGCGCTCCGACTGTTTGGAAAGGCTTCATGTGCCGGAGGTTGTCATCAATGAATATCAAAACGTCACAATCCAAAAAGTTTCAAAACAAGCAGTTTTTACTGGCAAGAAGGGTTCGAACTTCGAACTTCTAGCCTTGAAAGGGTTGTCTCTTGGAATCAAACCGCTTAGCCGAGCCCAAAACAAAGGGTTGTCTCTTAGGAGCCAGCATGAATTCTTGATCTAAACAGAGGAATAGCCATGATATAACCCATCTCAGGAATCCTTCCATTAAACAAGAGGGATAGATACTGCATGGATTTCTCCATGAATCGCGGGGGGCGGGCAGTGGAGCAGTCCAACGATTTGTTGATTCTGAAAGATCAACACGAATGGTCTCATGTCGGGATGTCGGGATGTCGTACACCTCCAACGCTCTTGGGA